GGGAAACTTCATGACGTCTTTGGGATCCATGAATGATAAAGAGATTCTGTTAAATGTAATTGCTTTAGGCATTCTTGCTATCACAGTTATTGTTAATGTCTGTATTCAAATCATCCAAATGAGGCATTTCCTGGGCGGTCGAGAAATGTTAGCTGAGGAAATTATAGCTAATTTCTTCATCCTCCTTTTGCTTGTTATGTTATCTGCTTCGGCCATAATGGTCCCAACCACCAAAAAATATCTCCAATTGAAGTACCACGAAATGGTGAAACTGGCTTCAGAGGAAGAACTCGAGCAGTCCGTGGATTTTGAGAAACTCACAACAGACAAACTGCAAGCAATGATCAAGAAATACTGGGTGATGGCAGAAACTAGTAGCCCTCAATTCGTGATTGTACGCTCTGTGACCTGTTCGACTTCAAGCGTCCTTTGTCTGGTGATTGCTTTCATTTTTGCAGAAGCTCAGGCTCGCATGGCCATGAAACATAAAACATTCGGCAAAACAGCTTCTAGCTATGCTTGGTCGACAACTTGGATAGTACTTGCACAATCTGCTGGAGTGATTGTGGGTACTATTGCCCCTGCATTCAGATGGTTGACTGCAGTAAATTTTACATACTCTGCTAAAGGCCTGATGAGCTTTAAGACTGCATTCAAAATCGAGAGTTACTGGACACAGAGGCTGGTGGAGTGGAAGGAAAGCCCTTTGCCATTGGAAATTAGAGACAGGAAGTGGAGAAAAATTCTTCATGGTATAAAAGGACTAGTTCTGAATTTTGTTATTAAAGTTCAGATCTTGATCGTCCTATACAGCAAATTAGTCCAACTTATCTCTGTATGTTTCATGAGTCGAATTATGTTGTGTTTCCACTGCATCAAGATGTTGAAGAATAGATCCACCTCTAGCACATCCGGCATTCATGGGTTTTCAGAATCGGAATCAGGAGTTAATACAGAACAGGATCTTACCCGTTATGTTCTGCTACTAGAAGGTGAAGTAGAGCAGCCTCCAAAGACTCTTAGAAACATGTGCAACAAGGTTGATAAAGTGATCGAGATAGGTAAAAACCAGCAACCGGAGAACCTGAAAAACCTTTTACTTAAAATTGAAAACTTCAGCAGCTTGACAGGAATTTATGATTATCAAGTACCTAATCTGCGTTCTCAGGAACCTCCTAATTGCTGGTCTTTACATCTGGTGACCTTAACGAGTATTGCAATAGCACTTCCAAACATCCCAGTACACAGTACTAAGTGGTTACTTACCTGTGTTAATGAAGGCATCGTCTATGTAAAACTTATCGAGAAATGCCTGGATAGAAATGGGGTTCGATTAAACATCCGAAATGCAGCAGATGTCGTGTGGGTAGCAGTCGAACTATACCAAAAATGGCAATGCAAAGATCTCCATGAAATGTCTCATAAAGGCCAAAACTCCAAGGAGATAATACAAGAACTCTCTGATCAAGCGGAAAAGACAGTAATGGAGTTCAAGAGAAATGTGAGTGATTGCCGTATGAAAAACCCTCTTGATTGGCCGGTCAAGGTTATAGCTGCTAATTCAATGTACAGAATTACAAGAACTATTTTACTAGTACTTGAAAGCGAGGATCCCCTAACGGATGAAGGCTTATTCAACCAATTATCCACAATGATAGCAGATGTACTGGCAGCATGTCTTACCAATTTAACGCGTGTTATAACCATGAAATGTCAGCAGAATGCCATAGAAGAGAGGGAGCAGAGTGTCCGTCAAGCAGCTCTCCTGTTAGGTGAAACTGAAGAAATTCTCCATATTCTTCAGCAGCATGAAGAACGTAGTTTGAATCTGGAGAAATCAGCTTATATTGAAAAATGGCTTGTACTAATGGAGCACGGAAATTAGGATCACCTAAGTTTCATTTTTAAATGCCCTGTAATAGCAAAGTCCATTGTAGTTCAGCGAAAACATGTAAGATAGAGGCTGACTTCAATC